CTTCTCTCGTGCCGCCGGGATCTAACCCGGGAACCTCGGAAGTGAACCGACGACATAACGCACAACAAGTTCTAGATGGGCTTGCAAGGTCGAGCTCGGCTCCTGGCCCCGCCTTCCCAACGTTCTTAGATCAATGCAGTGACTCATTTCTCACGATTGATCATACTTACATTTAAAATTTTGGATGGAATTAGCTTCAACGACTTGTGCTTGGCGGCTGCCGTTGATAATTACTTACTTCAATGACTTGTACGTCTAACCGACTCCACTTATTGATAACTCTAACACTGAGAAAGTTCTTCCTGACGTCCCAGTGACTCATTTGTGTCTCCTGTGTTTGCTCGTTCTGTTGCCCCAAGCCTTGAACACTGCTGCTTTCTCTACTGTATCAGTTTACCTAAGAATCTTATATATTGTTATGTTCACCTTATGTCTCTTTTCCTCCAGTGTGGTAAGCTCCAGTTCCCTCAGTCTTTCCTCAAAGTTCAATCCCTTCTACTCAGGAACGCATTGCATATCTTAAGACCCTTTCAAATTTTCTTTATCCTTTTCCAGGTTCCATGCTGGGGATGCATATTCAGGAGTTGGTCTCACCTTCGCTATATGTAAGGCCTGAAAGCTCCTTTCTCCAAGTTTGTGAAGGATACCTGGATGGTGACCAGGACGCCATGTACAGCTCTTGTTATTGTTCTAATGTGGGATTCGGGCATCAAATTTGGGGTTATGTTCATTCCCAGGTCTTTAGTATTTTCTGTTTGAAAAATCTCTTTTCTCTTCATCCAATACTGCTGTACTGGTCTTCGCACTCCTGTTCCAGTCTTCATAACTTTGCATTTGGCTGGGTTAAATTCTAGCAGCCATTTTTCGGACTTTGCATTTTTCTGGAGTCTGCCCAAATCCGTTTGCATCACAACCTATCCCTGTCTTCCTGACTCTTCTCGTGATGGTCTCACGTTCGTCAAAATTATGCACCTGGATCTTGTCGGTCACTAAAATAAAATTTAGAAAGTAAGCCAGTTGACCAGAGCGTGAGCGTTTAGCACATGTGTGGCCAGTAATGTGGGTGAGGTAGAGATCACTACCAAGTATGTTATGTCCGTGGGTTGTGACCAAGAGAAACACGGTAAGCCAGTAGTATTAACCTCCTGTATTTAACAAGTGTATGATCAATCACTCGTAGGACAGCTACTATTATCCTACCATCATCGACAACTCAAAAGGCGAGCACCAAGAGCTACAGCTCAACTGCCGCCAGCTCAGTAGCACATTAGTGCTCTCCACCGGCTCTGCTCACAACAGTAACTTGCAAAATTTCTCGAGGGAAATTTTTTCTCATGGTAGAAAAACATGAAAAAACAAACTACCGTTATAAATTATCAATATATACATTAACATACACATACCGATAATTAACTATCAGGGGGGAAGTTAATGTACACTTTATTCGATGTATCTTTAATGTTATTAATCTATTAACAGACACAGTGAAGTCTTGGCCTCACTATTTATTGATTTTCTCTGGTATCCGCAAATCGTCCATTTTCTATGACGGGGAGACGAGCGCTCAATAATGGGGCGCGGGGCGGCTGCGCTCCGGGTCCCTGGCCACTAATGTAAACAATGTCTCCCACCATACCTTCCACCTTGGACACATCATATACCTACCCTCTTATCATTAAACAATTAAGGTCCTTATTGCTGGCTGGGGAATTCATAGGCTGTTTAATAAGATTTTTTTTTATAATGGAATGCGACCCATGGTAAAATAAGGTACAAAAATGTTGTATTATTTAGTGAGTAATTGAAAGATATCTCCAGGAAGTAGGCGTGTTTTGCGATGGTCTTCACAACAAGCCGCCCAGACATCTCGGTCCGGCCTCGCTCTCTCATGTATTGGTTCTGCAGGGGTCTCCGCCCCCCCTCTTGAGTTACCTGCGGGTTTCCCTCTGAGTTGTCGGCAGTTTTTACTTCTGAGTTACTTGCGGTTTTTCCTCTGACTTACCTGCGGTTTTATCCGAGTTACCTGCGGTTTTATCCGAGTTACCTGCGGTTTTATCCGAGTTACCTGCGGTTTTATCCGAGTTACCTGCGGTTTATCTGAGTTACCTGCGGTTTTATCCGAGTTACCTGCGGTTTTATCCGAGTTACCTGCGGTTTTATCCAAGTTACCTGCGGTTTTATCCAAGTTACCTGCGGTTTTATCCAAGTTACCTGCGGTTTTATCCAAGTTACCTGCGGTTTTATCCAAGTTACCTGCGGGTTTATCCAAGTTACCTGCGGTTTTATCCGAGTTACCTGCGGGTTTATCCAAGTTACCTGCGGTTTTATCCAAGTTACCTGCGGTTTTATCCGAGTTACCTGCGGTTTTATCCAAGTTATCTGCGGTTTTATCCGGGTTACCTGCGGTTTTATCAGGGTTACCTGCGATTTTATCGGGTTACCTGCGGTTTTATCCGGGTTACCTGCGGTTTTATCCAAGTTACCTGCGGTTTTATCTGGGTTACGTGCGGTATTATCCAAATTTCCTGCGGTTTTATCAAGTTACCTGCGGTTTTATCCAAGTTACCTGCGGTTTTATCCAAGTTACCTGCGGTTTTATCCAAGTTACCTGCGGTTTTATCCAAGTTACCTGCGGTTTTATCCAAGTTACCTGCGGGTTTTATCCAAGTTACCTGCGGGTTTATCCAAGTTACCTGCGGGTTTATCCAAGTTACCTGCGGTTTTATCCAAGTTACCTGCGGGTTTATCCAAGTTACCTGCGGGTTTATCCAAGTTACCTGCGGGTTTATCCAAGTTACCTGCGGTTTTCTCATACATGGAGGTCTAGTGTTGCCACCTCGCACTCTGAGATCCAGAAACCGGGATTCTCCTTCTTATAACTAGTTTAGGATCATGATCCGTGGTATAGATCCGTCTACTTTAATGGGGTTTATCATTACTACGCTGGGAGGTGAAGGAGCCCCCCCCCCCGGGCCCCTTGAGCTGGGAGGTGAAGGAGCGCCCCCCCCCCCTGGACTCAGGGAGATAATAATTGGTAGTGGAGATGACATGTGACCAAATACCTCCACCTGCCCGTAATTGGGCCGGCTAGTTCTGGGAGTAAAGGGAAGTCAAGTGAAAATAGAATGTAAAGGGTCACAGCCGCGAGTATTTTGTCCTATTGATCTTTATCCAATTTTTCTCTCTCTCTCTGTCAGTCTGTCTGTCTGTCTGTCTGTCTGTCTGTCTGTCTGTCTGTCTGTCTGTCTGTCTGTCTGTCTGTCTCTCTGTCTGTCTCTCTGTCTGTCTGTCGGTCTTTGTCTCTCTCTCTCTCTCTCTCTGTCTCTCTGTCTGTCTGTCGGTCTTTGTCTCTCTCTGCCTGGTTGCCATGCCTGTGTCTGTGAGTGATATGTTTCTTGAGTGTGAATGGAAGTTTTATGTTAATGTTAAGACTGATTCTCTGAGCAGCACAACCCCTCCAGTGTCCCCCCCCCCCACACCTCCTCCTCACTCTTATACTCCTTATCACGCCTGTCGTATGGTGTATTGTTACTGTTCCTACTGTTACTTCTACTTGTAGGAACACAAGTTGCATTAGTTCTTCCACTACTCCTCTTCCTCCACCCCCAACACACCTCCACCCCCAACACTCCACCACCCCCAACACACCTCCACCCCCAACACTCCACCACCCCCAACACACCTCCACCCCCAACACTCCTCCACCCCAACACACCTCCACCCCCAACACTCCACCACCCCAACACACCTCCACCCCCAACACTCCACCACCCCAACACTCCTCCACCCCCAACACACCTCCACCCCCAACACTCCTCCACCCCAACACTCCACCACCCCAACACTCCTCCACCCCAACACACCTCCACCCCCAACACACTCCACCACCCCAACACACCTCCACCCCCACACACCCCAACACTCCTCCACCCAACACTCCACACCCACACTCCTCCACCCCCAACACTCCACACACCCCAACACACCCCAACACTCCACCACCCAACACACCTCCACCCCCAACACTCCTCCACCCCAACACTCCACCACCCCAACACTCCACCTGCAACAGTACTATAGTCTCCACATCACACTAACACGTGGATAAACTGCAATAACCAGATGTCCTGAAGAAGTCCTTTCCTCCTCATACATCCAACTCCTCATAACATTTACCTCCCGGGTGTTATCCCCCTCCCCTGCATCCCCTTCCCTCCCTCCTCCCCCCCCACACCCCCCCCTCACCTTCCATCACTCCAACAGCCCTATCGACACCTCCGCCGCCTCAACACTCTCCCTCACTACCTTTATCTTATCACGTCTTCTTCCCTCTTAATGGGACCCCTTGGCACCCCGTTCTCCACCCGTCTCAGATGGTCCCTGGCACTCTCCACCCGTCTCAGATGGCCCCTGGCACTCTCCACCCCCTCTCAGATGGCCCCTGGCACTCTCCACCCGTCTCAGATGGCCCCTGGCACTCTCCACCCCTCTCAGATGGCCCCTGGCACTCTCCACCCCTCTCAGATGGCCCCTGGCACTCTCCACCCCTCTCAGATGGCCCCTGGCACTCTTCATCCCTCTCAGATGGCCCCTGGCACTCTCCACCCCTCTCAGATGGCCCCTGGCACTCTCCACCCCTCTCAGATGGCCCCTGGCACTCTCCACCCCTCTCAGATGGCCCCTGGCACTCTCCACCCCTCTCAGATGGCCCCTGGCACTCTCCACCCCTCTCAGATGGCCCCTGGCACTCTCCACCCCTCTCAGATGGCCCCTGGCACTCTCCACCCCTCTCAGATGGCCCCTGGCACTCTCCACCCCTCTCAGATGGCCCCTGGCACTCTCCACCCCTCTCAGATGGCCCCTGGCACTCTCCACCCCTCTCAGATGGCCCCTGGCACTCTCCACCCCTCTCAGATGGCCCCTGGCACTCTCCACCCCTCTCAGATGGCCCCTGGCACTCTCCACCCCTCTCAGATGGCCCCTGGCACTCTCCACCCCTCTCAGATGGCCCCTGGCACTCTCCACCCCTCTCAGATGGCCCCTGGCACTCTCCACCCCTCTCAGATGGCCCCTGGCACTCTCCACCCCTCTCAGATGGCCCCTGGCACTCTCCACCCCTTTCATGGGGCTTCTGGCACTCTCAAGGGTGCCTTGAAAGTTCCATAAACTTACATAAACATAAAAATGGGGTTCCATAAAGGAACCTATTGCTTCAGGGAAGCCCCTTAGCCATCTTTTCCGGGGAACCCCCTGGTTTCCTGCATCGCTGTCAGGGGAGCCACTGGCTCTCTGCATCGCTCGCAATGGGGCTTCTGGCCTTCTCTTCCGCTCTCAGGGAAAGGCCTGGCTGGCTCCACCACTCTCAGCGACCCACAGGTCTTCATCCCTGTCATGGGGCCTGATGTTCTTCTCCACTCCTCTCAGGGACCTCCAAGACCTGCCTCAAGCTCTTCTGTTCTGTGTCCAGCGGGGGGAGTGTTCCGCCTGGTTCACCCCCCTAAATGTTTGTTATAGACGTGAATATCTTATGAGGTTGTTAGAGGTAAGGTATAGTGCCTGAGAGATCTGTAGGATGTCAGTGCTCCAGACTGGTGCTCTGGTGAACCGTTTGGGGGAAGCCGCAGCGACTATCCTCCACCAGCCTTCTTAGTGTAGAAGTGATTGATGGCGTGGTGATATTGTGCAGTACAACGAGGTACTACAACCAGTCACCTAGTTACAGGTTGTAACTGCCTGTGCCGCCATCGTCCACCACGATTTATGCGCACGACGTTGTGGTCAGCGCCAGGATGGACGCCACATTAACGGCCTCATTCGTCTTTATAAAAAGCTGAGAATGGCGCGATATTGATGGTGTTGTGGGAGGGGATTCCAGGCCGCTTCCCGGGGCGTTATTGATGGTGTTCCAGATGGCCAACGGCAGCTTCCGACTGGTCCCAATATTTTTTCTTCCGGTGACTCCATTTTTCCGGAGGGTTGGACGCCTGGGTTGAAGATCTCTTGAAGGTGAGGTATGGGTCCACTTTAGTGGTGCTATGCCCCGAGCAGCCACGGTCACCAGACCAGAGACCTGCAGCCCGTCGCGTGCAGAAATGTATAAACAGTGAGCGCCATGGTAGCCGAGAGCGCCATTGTGTACCCCGAGAAATTCTTCTGTCCGTTAGTGCTTCTCTATCTTCCCGTTCTTCTTCTCCAAACGAGAACGGAGGAAAAATTAAAGCTTATATCCACTGAACGACTTCTTCTGACAAGCAAAAATAAATCCACAAAATCTTCTAGGATAAAAAATAAATAAAATAAAATAAAATAAAAATTCACAAAATATTTTCATGGAGGATTCAGTTAAAAGTGGAGACCGTTATTACCGTTATTTCCGTTAACATAAAATTATTCTTCCCATTTAAACATTCACCTGAATTCCTTGCTTTCTCGCCTCGCTGCCCCCGAATAAGCTCTGGTTTATTTGAAGTTATCTTGGGCCTTAGTACGGCTTGCCTGGGGGGCGTGGTGTTGGTCCCCCCCTCACCCCGCCCCCCACGTGCTGTTGGTCCCCCATTCACCCCCCACGTGCTGTTGGAACCCCTCAGCACCTCCCCACGTGGTGTTGGTCCCCCTCCCCCCCCCCACGTGCAGTTGGTCCCCCACACCCCACGTGGTGTTGGTCCCCCCACCCCCCCACGTGCTGTTGGAACCCCTCAGCACCTCCCCACGTGGTGTTGGTCCCCCTCCACCCCCCCACGTGCAGTTGGTCCCCCTCACACCCCACGTGGTGTTGGTCCCCCTCACCCCCCCCCCACGTGCTGTTGGAACCCCTCAGCACCTCCCCACGTGGTGTTGGTCCCCCTCCCCCCCCCCACGTGCTGTTGGTCCCCCTCACACCCCCTCACGTGCTGTTGCAACACCTCCTCCCCCACGTGCTGTTGTACCGCTCCCCACGTGGTGTTTGAACCCATCCCCCCGCACGTGGTGTTGGAACCCCCCCCCCTCTGTGGTGTTGGAACCCATCCCCCCCGCACGTGGTGTTGGAACCCCCCCCCTCTGTGGTGTTGGAACCCATCCCCCCCACGTGGTGTTGGAACCCATCCCCCCACGTGGTGTTGGAACCTCCCCCTGTGGTGTTGGAACCCATCCCCCCCGCACGTGGTGTTGGAACCCCCCCCCCCTCTGTGGTGTTGGAACCCATCCCCCCCGCACGTGGTGTTGGAACCCCCCCCTCTGTGGTGTTGGAACCCATCCCCCCCACGTGGTGTTGGAACCCATCCCCCCCACGTGGTGTTGGAACCTCCCCCCTGTGGTGTTGGAACCCATCCCCCCCACGTGGTGTTGGAACCTCCCCTCTGTGGTGTTGGAACCCATCCCCCCCTCTGTGGTGTTGGAACCCATCCCCCCCTCTGTGGTGTTGGAACCCATCCCCCCACGTGGTGTTGGAACCCCCCTCTGTGGTGTTGGAACCCATCCCCCCCCTCTGTGGTGTTGGAACCCATCCCCCCTCTGTGGTGTTGGAACCCATCCCCCCCACGTGGTGTTGGAACCTCCCCCCTGTGGTGTTGGAACCCATCCCCCCCCTCTGTGGTGTTGGAACCCCCCCTCTGTGGTGTTGGAACCCCCCCTCTGTGGTGTTGGAACCCATCCCCCCACGTGGTGTTGGAACCTCCCCCCTGTGGTGTTGGAACCCATCCCCCCCACGTGGTGTTGGAACCCATCCCCCCACACACACGTGCTGTTGGAACACCCCCGCCCACGTGGTGTTGGAACCCATCCCCCCACACACACGTGGTGTTGGAACACCCCCGCCCACGTGGTGTTGGAACCCATCCCCCCACACACACGTGGTGTTGAAACACCCCGCCCACGTGGTGTTGGAACCCATCCCCCCACACACACGTGCTGTTGGAACACCCCCGCCCACGTGGTGTTGGAACCCATCCCCCCCCCACACACGTGCTGTTGGAACACCCCCGCCCACGTGGTGTTGGAACCCATCCCCCCCATGTGGTGTTGGAACCCCCCTCTGTGGTGTTGGAACCCATCCCCCCCACGTGGTGTTGGAACCTCCCCCCTGTGGTGTTGGAACCCATCCCCCCCTCTGTGGTGTTGGAACCCCCCCCCCCTCTGTGGTGTTGGAACCCCCCCTCTGTGGTGTTGGAACCCATCCCCCACGTGGTGTTGGAACCTCCCCCCTGTGGTGTTGGAACCCATCCCCCCCACGTGGTGTTGGAACCCATCCCCCCCCACACACGTGCTGTTGGAACACCCCCGCCCACGCCCCCCCCACACACGTGCTGTTGGAACACCCCCGCCCACGTGGTGTTGGAACCCATCCCCCCCCCCACACACGTGCTGTTGGAACACCCCCGCCCACGTGGTGTTGAAACCCCACTCTCCACGTGGTGTTGCACCCTCCCCCCCAACGGTGTTGGAACCCACACCCTCAACACCATTACGGGATAAAACCAAATATTCACTAACGCTCCACCAATCGATAAGGGCGAGGCGACGGTCTCCAATATTTGCTTGTTTCTGCACGGGTCTGGTCTGTCTTCTCTATCTTGTCTCTCTTCTCTCCTATCTCTCTCTTTCTCTGAAATCTTCTAGTTTTATAACTTCAAAACTTCATACTGTATGTAATTAGAACTAAGGAAACAGGAAGCTATTTGGAACGGTTAGGCTCTCGACAAGGGGACGGGTGAAGTAAGTAATTATCAAAAGAAGGCACCAAGCCTGGAAGGCTATGTAGCACCATCAAATGTGCGGAATAATCAGAGGGCGCTAAATATCACCAAGGATGCCAATATGAAAACAGAAAGGCGAACGATATCAAAAGTATCCGATTCACCAAGAATTCTATCAAGGGACAAGTGACCACGAGGGACGGTCGGAAAGCAAGACACATGCTCGTCCTGAGGACGAGCAAGGATATGCACGACGGTAAGAGGGACAATGCAATTTGAACAATAAGGAGCAGGGCGCCGTTCCATAAAGTGACTGTGAGTTAAGCGAGTATGGCTAAGACGCAACCACGCTAGAGCCGTTTCCCACCGCCGGTTACGGTGGCAGGAGGAAGGCCACGGGGACACACAAAATGCTTAAGAGTACGCAGTTTGTTACCAACAACAGAAGACCAACAACCCTGCCAACAGGCAAGGATGGAGAACTAAATAACCGGATAAAAGTCGGAAAAAGTTATACCTTTACGGGAAACGGGACAAGAGCGGACAGCCTCTCAAGCGGCAGCATCTGCATGCTCATTTAAAGAAACACCAATATGGCTGGGAACCCAGCAAAACTCTACTGATTTAAATTTACTAGAGATAAGAAACAGCCAATGTTGAATCTCGATGACTACCGGATGGACAGGATTAAAGGACCCGAGAGCCATGAGGGCACTACGAGAGTCAACTACAATCACAAAGGAGGATTGACAATGACAAAACAGGAGACGGAGAGCATAGCGTAAAGTTCCGCTGTGAAGATGCTAGTCTCCGAAGGGAGGCGACACATATAAGTGCGGTCAGGAAAAACAAAGGAGTAGCCCACACCGTCTGCAGACTTAGACACATTGGTGAAGATGGAAACGGAGTGGGAGTGTGAAGAAAAGCGCTCAAGAAAAAGGCGTTTCAGAACCGTAGGAGTAAAAGCTTTAGTAATGCAGGTCAAGAATGTACAAAACTTTGGAACAGGTACCCTTCTCTGGGGCAAGGAAGGAACAATACGAGGAGAAATATGAGAAAGATGAATTGAAAGTGAATTCTGTAAGCGAGATGGCTGGACAGAAAGAGGAAGGTGGTGAAGAGGAACAGGAACTACAGGAGGGGTAAAAGTCAAAGCACGACAGAGGCAAGAGGAAGGATGTTGCAAGGACTGCGCCAGATAGCGAAGACAGTAGCGATCACGGTGGTCCTCGAGAGATAGGAATTCAGTGTTAACATACAAGCTGAGAGTGGGAGTCGAACGAAAGGCATCAGAGCTGAGGCGCAACTCAGCATGGTGCAGAGCATCAAGACGGCAAAGAGTAGAAGGAGAAGCGGACGAGTAAGCAGGGCAACCATAATCGAGTTTAGACAGGACGAGTGAGGAATGTAAAGAGAGGAGCGTACGCCTATCTGCCCCCCAAGAAGTATGGTATAAAACCTAAAGGAGGGAAAAGGCCTTTCAGCATGGAGGTAAGGGATATGGGCTGACCAAGACAAACGAGTGT